AATGACTGCTGATGGGGCCAGGGGCCTTTCAGGGGTGTTGAGAGAATCAATAGGCTCAAAGACAGTGCTGAGCTCAGGCTAGGGGTCCTAAAACAGGCTAGGCATGACGAGTTGCCACTCACTACAGTGTCCTGTCCCTGAATGGCTGTCCCCACGGGCCGCCTGCAAGTGCCCCCTCCCCCGCTCCCTTCCCTGAGTGCGGGGCTGGCAGAAGCCGAGGCCTGAGCAGTTTTGTTTTCTCTCCCACAGGGCTGGTGGCAGTGCTGCAGTGTTTGCTTTCACATTCCAGAGCAAGCTGGAGCTGCCCCCACCCCCTCCTCCCTTCTGGACCCAGAGACAAGGCATACTAGGGCTAGGGCAGGAGCACAGTGAGGACCCGGGGTGGGGTCTGCCCTCCCACCCATCCTGCTGGAACAGGGAGACCCATGATGCCCTGAGGGTACCCCATCCACAACCCAGAGTCCTGCCTTGCTTTACCTCTGGCATCCTGCAGTAGGGCTCTGGGCCAGGGAGCTGCGTGGGCAGGGGCCAGGCCCCAAGACCCCCACCCAGCCGGGGCCTGGGGTAGTGACCACGGTGCTGAGTGGCCAGCGGCTGCTGGTGCTCAATTAAACATGGCGGTGGCCAGAGTGGGCAGGCAGGCTGCAGCTCAGGTTTCGAGTGTGCGTGCAGGTGAGAGTGTGGCGGCTAGGGGTGCTCGCCGGGCCCCTCCCTTACCCTTCACTTTCCTACTGGTGGCTGAGGGACCCTAGGCCAGTCTGGGCTGGGCGCAGCACTAAATGGAGGGCCTCTTGCTTCTCAGGGAAGATCTCCAGGCCTTAGGCAGCTGTCCCCCTGCAGCCCAGGCCACCCTCTGGACCACTCCAGCCTCCAGACCTGCAAGCTTCTTCCGAGCCCAGATCTGACTTTGAATGCTCTGGCCTGCCAATTGATGGCCATCTAGCTGTGGGACCAAGCATGTCTTTCCTCACAGAGTGGGTGCCTTGACCCAGGCTCTGGGCCATCCTATTTATCAGGTATACCCTCTTCCTGTCCAGCCTATACCCCTCTTCTGGGACCCCTTTCCTGACCCCCAAAGCCTTTCCAGACACCCTCTGGGAACCCCCGCTGCAGGCCACCATCTGGCCCCATAATCCCAGGAACTCCAGGGACAGAGCTGCTTCTCCTCGGTCGCCTGGGGGCTCAGCTGGGCAACATGGTCTGAACTGGAGGCATGAGGTGAAACCCCCAAATTCTCCAGAGTCCCACTGTACAGTCATGTGCCCTCTCCAAGCACATACACCTGGAAGTACAGGTTTGTGGCTGTGAAGAGGGTCCACACCTCCCCAGAGGTTCCTCTCAGGTACAGGCTATCAGAACACAGGTCCTAGAGACTGGCCAGGGTGGAGTAGAGCCTGAGCCAGGACTGTACACAGAAGCTGGAAATGTGACATAACCAAACCTGGTATGTGGACATGGGCCAAGGTGGCAGAGGTACATCCCATGGTGAAAGAGACCAAACATCCAAACCTACGCTTGCAAACAAACTACACAGACGCACACAGTGATGCACATATGTGAAAGGACGGCCCCATAGCATGGAACCTTGTGGCCTCTTCTCACGCCTTCTACAGTGACCTCCAGGGCGGGGTCTCTCAAGGCCCCCAAAGGGAAGAGGATTTGGGAGGGTATTCAGGGCCATGAGGCCAGGCTGAAGTCATATCCGGGTTCACGACCATACTGGCCATCCCTGCCTCAACCAAGCACAGCCGCCTCTCACCACATAAGCCACAGATTTCTCCTCACATCTAGCCTACATCCTACTCCTTACAACTGACCAGCGTCTTCAGAGCACCAAGCCTGGCACTAGACCCTCAAGCTGAGGGGCTGCAACGCAGTGACCCGGCTGCGAGAGCAGGCAACAGTGTGTCTGGAGGGGGCGCAGGCGGACCAGCGCATTGCTCACATTCCTAGCTCGCTGCACTGGCTCAGAACACTTCCTGCAGCTTCCAAGCCAGACCCTCAGGCTCCCACGGTTCCCAGCAGGGCCGCCCCAGAGCTGGACAAGCCCTGGTCTCCCAGGCCTGCCTGTAACCAGACAAACAGGCTAGCATGAAAATACCCTGGGAGCCAAGCTGTGTCCCCCGCTCCTCGATAGTGACTCACCAGCCCCGGCAGAGAAAGGCCCCATTGTTGCTCAGGGTCCAGCAGGCTCACACCAGGGTCTTCTGAGTCCCCTTTCCTGACCCTGGGGGACCCAGGCTAAGCTGGCTGCTGGGATCCTCACTGCCCACCCTGCACCAACCCCACCTAACCTGCACAAGCCCCTGGGATGGGCTCCGCGGAGGGGCTCCTGGGGCCCAGGCAGGTGGTGTGGCACTCCCAGAGCGGGCCATGGAGGCTGGACAGAAGTGGCAGACAGCAAGCATCCAGCTGGAGTGGTATGAGCTCTCCAACCGGCCCAGGCTGCCACCCCATTTATCTACCTCCCACTGCTGCCTGGGCTCCCCACGGATGGGTGGGGACATGGGGATTGAGTCACTTTGGGGAGCAGGGTGGTGGCTGGGTCCCCCTCCCCTGCGCAGGCTCCAGCCTGGTGCCCCCCCACCAGCTAGGTTTCCGTCCCAAGAAGGGAAGGAAGGAAGCTGCTGGGAGGCCCTGCCCTGCTCCCAGGACCCAGGGCTGGGAAGACAGAGACACAAGGGAGGAGACCCTGGCCCCAGAATAGAAGACAGTCCTGCTGCAGCTCACAGGAAGCGGGAGGAAGAACAGGAGCCAAGAAGCCCCCAAAGCCCTTTTGTAGGCACTGGGTCCTATGCCAAGCAGTCAACCCCTGCAAGACTTTGTCACCTCACTTTCATCCCCAGAACTAGAGGGTGGGGGCACGGTCTGGGTGCGAGGGGAAGGAGGGCCCAGGGTCTGTTACTGCCCCCATGGGCTGGCGCCGCTAGTTGCTTTTGCTATTTGGGGGCTGTCCCCAATCGTCACTATCAGGATCAGCTGCACTGCAGCTGTAGCCACCCCTAGCCCAGTCTGGCCCAGGGCTGAGTCACCACTGACAAGGCCCCAACAGCCCTGAAATGGAGGAGCTACCCACATCAGTGTCCTCCCTTACCCCACCTCTTCCCCTCCCATCCCTGGGACAGGAGGAAACTGAGGCTGAGAGGGTGTGAGTGGCCTGCATGGCCCTGACTCCACCTCAGTCCTTACCTCCCACAGGCACCGGGCGTGGGCCCTTCATCATGCAAACCACTCACATCCTGCCTCACTATCTACTGTCCCCTTAGAGCACAGCCCTGCATGGAAGCATTGCCCCCCACGTTCTCTGACAGCCCATGGTGGACAGAAGGTAAGCCTTGTCCTTGGAGGTCAGCCAGAGCCAGCACCTCCTTCTAATGCTCTGAGCTCAGCCAACTAAAGGGTGGGTCTCTGGCTGGAAGGAACAGGGAGACCCTGTCCCCTGGGCCTCCCCTGACCTTCTGGGGGTCCCTCTCCCCAGGCCAGCCCCAACCACTGCCAGTTGGGCCCCACTCTGTTCCTCTAAAAATACGCCCAGAGGAAGCCCCCTCCCAGGGCTTCCTGCAGCCCCAGAGCCTGAAATAGCGGAGGGGGAAGGTCCCACCCAAGGACAAGGTGCCTTGGCCACTCCGCCCTGAAGATAAGGCCCAAGGGCGGGTTTTTCCACAGGAAGGTGAACTTAGCCATTTATGTTTAAATCAATAGACAAACGCCTGAGGAGGGGGGGCTCTTC